AAGAATTTCATCTCTAAATTTTTAAATAACTGAATTCTTTTGACAAATTTTAATAAAATGGTTAAGAATTTTTTCGAAGAATTCGATTAAAATTGTATTCAAAATAATTGAAATTCTGCAATGAGTTTTATTATTTATGAAAATAATTGAATTCCTAAAAATAATTTTATTATTTACGAAAATAATTGAATTCCCGTTAAATTTTTTCATTATGTATAAAAATAATTGAATGATTGCGAATTTATGAAAAAAAAAAATTTGTAAATAATGAAATTCCTGTGAAATTTGTATTATTTTTTTGAAAATAATTAACAGTTTGTGTAAAATTTTATTAAATTTCTTTTTAAATAATTGAATTCTTTTGGAAAATTTTGGAAAATAATTGAATTCGGAGAAGAATTTAATTATTTCTAAAGATAATTAAAATTTTTATGAGAATTTAAAAAAAAATTTTGAACATAATTGCATTTTTGCGAACAATTTTAGTAATAAGTAATAAGTAATCAGTTAAGTGAATAAATAAGTAAGTAAATAGGCGAATAAGAAATAAAAAAGTAAATAAATAACTAAACGGTGAAGTAAATAAATAAATAAATAAGTAATAAACATTTAAATAAATACATAAATAAATATGTATATACAATTAAATTTGTTCGAAATAATATCTCATTTTTATAATAAATTCTCAACGAGACAATTTTTTATTTAATATAAAAATTAAAAAATGAATTCCCCCGGTTTTTGATGAATTTTCGAAATGTCCTTTGAATGAAATTGTGTTTTTCTCTTATCGTTGCTTAACGCTTGGGCTTCTCGTGTTTCTACATTTGAACGCTCTTGAATACGTCCTGGTTGCCGCGGATACGTGATTTTTCCAATTTCCTTGGTTTGCTAGGGTCGCGTAGCACTTCCATTATCGGAACCTCCTTTTCTCAATTTTATCATCGCTTTTCTTCGATGCAAGAGTCTTGTCGATTCTTCTGACCTCATTTTTTCTTTCCATTTTTTTTTTTTTCATAAAACTCTCCCCATAAAAAAAAGTAAATCTGAAAGTGATCCTTATATATGATATAGACGTTACACGGTACAATAATTCGATAAATAATCGTTTCATAAGGAAAGATTAAAACCTTTTCATGGTTTTTTATAGTAAAAAGAAAGCTTTTTTGACTGACAATAGTAGAAAAAGATTTTTTTGTTTTTATAGTAAAAAGAAAATTCTTGTCTTTTATAATTAGAAAAAGATTTTTGGTATTTATAGTAAAAAAAACTTTTCTGTCTTTATAGTCAAAAAGCTTTTTTGTGTTTATAGTAAAAAAAACTTTTCTGTAGTTACAGTAAAAAGAGAACTTTTGTTTTTGTAGTAAAAAAAAGCTTTTTTGTGCGTTTATAGTAAAAAGAACTTTTGTCTTTATAGAAAGAAAAAGACTTTTTGTTTTTATAGTAAAAAAAAGCTTTTTTGTGTTTATAGTAGAAAAGATCTTTTGACTTTAAAATGGACAAAGATTTTTTGTGTTTATAGTAAAAAAATATTTTTATGCTTATAGTAAAAGAAGCTTTTTTTTTGCTCAGAGTAAAAAAAAACTTTTATGTCTTTATAGTGGAAAAGGCATTTTTGTTTATGGTAAAAAATGTTTTTTGTGTTTATAGTAAAAAAATATTTTTATGCTTATAGTAAAAGAAGCTTTCTTTTGCTCAGAGTAAAAAAAAAACTTTCATGCCTTTATAGTGGAAAAGGCATTTTTGTTTATGGTAAAAAATGTTTTTTGTGTTTATAGTAAAAAAAAACTTTTCTTTCTTTATATAGTAAAAAAGCTTTTTTGTTTATAGTATAAAGAGCTTTGTTGTGTTTATAAAAAAATCTTTTCTGTCTTTATAGTAAAAAGAGACCTTTTGTCTTTATAGTAAAAAAAGTTTTTTAAATTTATAGTTAAAAAAATACTAACCCGAAAAGTGAAAGAATTTTGAAAAATATATATAAATTAATTTCTAAAATATGCAGAAAGAAATTTTTGTCTATAGAGTAATAAATATTGTTTTATTAATAAATAATATATTGTAATTTAAAAATAATATTTAAAACAATTATTTTCAATTCTTTTTATATAAAATTAAAATATTCATATTCAGTAAAATAAATATTTAAATTTTCAAAAAGAAAAGAAAAAAAAATAAAAAGACATTTTTATTATTTAGAAAATAGGAATGCGTATAACAATATAAATATATTCCCACAGTCTATTCTATCTATGGTCGCACAAAACCATTATAACGTAAACGACTAATTTACCCAGGCGTTAAGATAATTAACATGATGTAATTTGAGAAACTTTGTTCTAGACAATTTAGAAATTCTAGACAGAATTACTGAAGGCATTGTTTTCAGTAATTTGTAAATCGACTAATAAAATGTCAGTTAAAATTCCAGAAAGAAAAAAAATCCCTCACATCCTGTTTATACTGTCCATATATTATAGTCACTTGTGTCTCACAATTTTATATAGGTCTAATTCGTTTCTCTAATTGAAAAAAAAAATTCACCACTAAAGAATAAAAAATTATTATTGATCAAAATTATATTTTAGATAATTATTATTTTTAATTATAATTATTATAAAATTTACAATTATAAATATCTATTAATTTCTACTAATATTTATTATATTTTTTCATTTTCTTAAAGATTTTAATTTAATAAAAATTACTAGAAATTAAAATTACTAGAAAATAAATAATAAAATAAATAATTGATAGAATAAATGATTATTTTTTTCGAATTGAATACATGTAAATAATGTTATCAAAATTATGTAAATAATTGACATTTTTCTAAAAATTTTAATAAAATTTTTGAAAATAATTACATTTTTCGAGTAATTCATTTAAAATTGTATTAAAACTAATTGAAATCGTGTGAGGAATTTTATTATAATTGTAAAAATAATTGAATTGTTACAACGAACTTCAGTAAATTTTTAAAAAAATTTGAATATCTGTGAAGTATTTTATTATTTATGAAAATAATTGAATTCTTGCAACGAATTTCAGTAATTTTTTTTAAATAATTGAATTCCTGTGAAACTTTTTTTTATTTATGAAAATAATTGAATTCTTGCAATGAATTTCAGTAGATTTTTATAAATAATTAAATATCTGTGAAGTATTTTATTATTTATAAAAATAATTGAATTCTTGCAACAAATTTCAGTAAATTTTTTTAAATAATTGAATTCCTGTGAAAATTTTTTTATTTATAAAGAAATTGAATTCTTGCAACGAATTTCAGTAATTTTTTTAAGGGGAGAGACCGGTAAAATTTCTACTCATCTAAATTTTTGTTGTTTATTGACGGTTAATGGTTCTTCTAACAAATATTATTATTTTAAATTCCTATGTTTCAAAAAATTAAAAAAATTTAATTAGTTAATAATTTTTGAAATAAATATCAAAATTTTCAAAAAATAAAAATTTGAACTACTCTTGTAACTTTTATTGCCGATTTTTTAATATACTTATTTCATAATTCTAAACAATCAATCGTATGGATTTTCAAAAATTTTGATTTTTTCAAAAAATTAAATTCTTTGAAAAATAGAAAAAAATTTTAAATCAGTTAAAAATAACTTTTATTAATTTTTTTACAGTGTAATATAATTGTAAGTATTGTAAAAGTGTAAAAAAATGTTGATACCCCTAAAAATGGTCATTTTTGATTGGCTCAAATTTTACTAGTAGTTTTTAAAAAATTCAACTACTTCCACATTTTTTTATTATTTCACGTTGCCAAATTTTTTATAGGCTTTTCTTATGATTCTGAATAATCAATCGTATGGATTCTTCATTATTCATTATTTTCATTATTATATTTTCCAAAAAATAAAATTTCCAAAATGTCTAAAATTTTTTTTTTTTAATTTTAACTATGTAGAATAAATGTGGATCCTAAATAATGCCAGTAAATAAAATTATCCCCTTTTAATAACGTAATTCTCGAAGGGTTTAAATTTCACCGGTCCCTCCCCTTAGATAATTGAATTCCTGTGATAAATTTTTTTATTTGTAAAAATAATTTAATTCTTGCGAGGATTTTATTAAAATTTTTGTAAATAATTAAACTTGTTTTTGCGAAGTATTTTATTAATTTTTTTTTTAAATAATTAAATTCTTTTGAGAAATTTTATTCAAATTGTAGATTTTAAAAATATTTGAATTTCAGCAAAGTATTTAATTATTTGTGAAAATAATTGAATTCTTGCAAAAAAATTTTGAATTGTTTCTAAGAACAATATTTATCAATAATTAATTAATAACTGTTTTACTTCAACTATTGGCGAATTTAGATTTTAAAGTAGTTCAAATTTTGGAAAAAAAACATTGAAAAAAGTACTCTCTAAATCTGAATATGTGAAATTTCACTTATTGTACGTTATAAGTCGTCCTCTCGATCAATAAGTGCATATACACTTATAAATAAGTGAATTTTTCACTTATTCTGAGTGAAATTTCACTTATTATAAGTGTATATGCACTTATTGATCGAGAAGACGACTTATAACGTACAAATATGTGAATTTTCACATATTCAGATTTAGAGAGTAGCTTTTAGTGTCATAAATTTGTAAAAAAGTACATGTTTTGTGAGTTAAAATTCCGCGCCTGTTACATAAAACAGAATCTTGAATAAAAATAAATCATTGCCTACTTATATTCGGTCCAGTTCATTTCACTTGTGAGAGAACTTTCATGCCATCTGGACGGCAAGTCTCAGAGTTTTAAGGCGCGAAATTCAAATTTCAAAAATCAAGAAAGCGAATAAAGTGGAAATAATTCTTGGGGAAATATTTAAATTCGAGATTTTGCACTCACAAGGGGGAGGGGGTGGGAGAAAGTAAAATTTTTCTGAAAATTGGTCCAATCTTAAATCAAGTGGTCCATCTGCTTCGGATGCAACCCTTAAAAGTAATTGTGACAATATCCAATAACAAAAATGAATTCTGAAGGTCGCGTGGGGGAAGAAGAAGAAGAAGGAGAAGAAGAAAAAGATTTTCTGAGCAATCGAGAGAAATACTACTTATAGAGCGAAGGTGGTAATTTGAGAAAAGAAGTCCGATCAAGCAGAATATACGATAGGGAGTGTCGTCGTTGTCGTTGTCGTAGTCGACGTCAAGTCATCTAGAAAGTGATCGGAGGAAAGCTAAACTTGAACGAGCGCAAACAATGGCTGGTTAGTTTCGATGGGTTCATAGTATAGTATTATATACTCGGGTATTTGTGATACTATAAAGATTGGCCCCGCACAAACGGTAGGCAGGAAGGGATCGTCGTAGGGGAGATCAGAGTATCGCCATAGCTAATCGTACCACCCAAGGTGGCACAGATTGAGAGCCCCATCAACACACATCCTCTCCTACTGACAGGACCGGAGATAAAACCAACAGCCACGGATAACCATCGACTCCAATCATCACAATAATATAGGCTCTCTCGTCTACTGCAGAGTGAAAGAGAGAAGGATAACAAAATATATATATATTGCTTTATCTTCGTTGTCTCTGAAGCATATCAGTGACCGCCATTTTTTTTCCAACCTCGTCGTCGCACGTCCCCATTAAAGCGCGTCGCACGGCACTTCCGGTCAACCGGAAGTCACAGTCCATGTGAACGGGCTCAGAGCGTCTCGTCAGGATCCGCGGAAATAAACATGGAAGTCGCCACTGAGTTGTACGTATTTACTTGCACTTTTTACTTTTACCTTTTCCCTTCAAGCATTTAGCAACACCAGAAAAAAAGAAAAATTATACTTGAAACATATAATCCGTCTGGTAAAGAAACTCGTTTCTTTAAAAACGATTTCTAAATAATAAAAATAAAGTTTCGAAAAACATTTATAAATTTTCAGGGAACAATTTACTGAAGAGTCTTTGTTATTAATAGTAGTACTTATACACCGAACAAGTTCATTTCGCTTGTGAGAGAACTTTCATGCCATCTAGACGGCAATTTAGAGAGTAGAAAGGCGCGAAATTCAAATTCCAAAAAACAAGAAAGCGAACAAAATGCAAATCATTCTTGAGGAAATATTTAAATTCGAGGTTTAGGATTTTTATTATATTCACAAGGGGGGAGGGCAGCAAATATTAGCCAGATAGTAACATTTTTCTCAAAATTGGTCTAACCTTAAGTTAATTTACAATATATTTCGTTATCACAGATTTCTAAGTAGTTAATCAGGGTTGCCACGTTTTTGCTTATTTCAAATTCCATGACATTTTCAGGTTCAAGAACGGAATTTCTCCAGGTTTTTAAAACTACATTTATATTCTACAAAATTAAATAATTTCAATAAATTTTTACAAATACATGGAAGATTTTTAATAAATTTTAATTCAAACTTCTTTGAAATTAAACAAATTATATTAATTAATAATGACCAACTGATAAAATCATTATTTATATATTATAAGAATATTGTTACTATAACATATTAAAAATTACTTTCATCACTTTAATTCAATTATTTTTTTCCAGAATTATTTTTAACTAAAATTCTCCTTGAAATTAATTATTTTTAATAATTTTTGAAAGATTTATTTGAAAATTTTCAAATCCGTTTGTTTACAATTCAAGTTTACAAAATTTCATTGATTATTCTGAAATTTTTCAAATATTAGAAAATAAAAACTTTAAATAACTTAAAAAAGATTCAATTAAACTTTTTCAAAAAAATTAAATTTACACAATTTTCAGTTAAAAGTATGAAAAATTCAAACATTCAAAGATTATAATTTGAAACCTTTTCAAAATTCAATTATTTCTAAAAATTCAGCTATAATATTTTCTCTCTAAATTTGAATTAGTAAAAATGTTTACTAATTGGAATTAGTGACTGACATTTTGCTTTTGAAGTAGTAAATTTTATTATTAAATTAGTAGAAACGATTTTTACTAATTCAAATTTAGAGAGTTTAATATTCAATTATTATCTAAAATTTTAACTGAAATTCATATTTAAATCAATTTTTATTAGAAAATTCTACGAGAATTCAATTATTTAAATACAAAAATAAATAATTTATTGAAGAATTGAATGTTTTTTACAATTGAATTCTCATAAAGAATTTTATCAACAAATTTTTAAATAGGCAATTAAAATTCTTTTGACGAATTTTAATAACATTTTTAATAATAAATTAATTTTTCGAAAAATTAGATTAAAATTGTATTAAAAATAATTGAATCCTTGTTAAAAATTTGATTGAATTGAGAAAAGTTTTTGAAAATAATTGAAATTTTGACAAGAATTTAAAAAAAATTTTTGAAAATAATTGAATTTTGGAGAAAAATTTTATTATTTTAATATCTTGGGACAAATTTTAATAATATTTATTTTTAAATAATTGAATTCTTTTGTGAAATTTATTGAAATAGTAGATATTGAAAATAATTGAATTTTTATAAATTATTGAAATTAATTAAATTTCTACTAAAATTATTCTGAAAAAAATTGAATTGTTAAAAAGAATTTCATTGAATTTCTTTGATGAGTTTTAATAAAATTTTTAAGAATAATTACATTTTTAGAGATATTAGATTAAAATTGTATTAAGAATAATTCAATCTCTGTAAAAAATTTGATTGAATTGAGAAAAGTTTTTGAAAATAATTGAAATTTTGCCAAGTATTTTATTAAAAATTTTTGAAAATAATTGAATTTTGAAGAAAAATTTTATTATTTATAAAGATAATTGAAATTTTGATAATAATTTTTTTAAACTTTTAACCATAATTGAATTACTGCGAAGAATTTTATTACTTTTGAAAATTATTGAATTCTTGAGACGAATTTTAATATTTCTTTTTAAATAATTGAATTCTTTTGTAAAATTTTCTTGAAATAGTAGATATATTAAAAATAATTAAATTTTGATAAATTATTGAAATTAATTAAATTTCTACAAAAAATTTTATTAAAATTATTTAGAAAAAAAAATTGAATTGTTAAAAAGAATTTCTATAAAATTTTTGAAAATAATTTAATTTTTTCCAGAAATGTAATTAAAAATGTATTGAAAATAATAATAATACTTAAATTCTAATAAATAAATTATAGGAAGGCTTTTTAAAATAATTGAATTTCTTTGATGAATTTTAATCAAATTTTTAAGAAAAATTAGATTTCAAGAATAAACACAATAACTTTAGAAAACAATAATTTTCCAGGATTCTGATCAAAATTCCCTGATTTTTCCAGGAGTTTTCAAGGTTTATAAAATTCCCTGACATTTCCAGGTTTTCCAGGCTGCGTGGCAACCCTGTAAAATAAATAATAAATAATTACCATTTAATAAAATTAATATGAAACTTAAAATTAAACTATGTAAAACGTAAAAGTAGTAATGATAAAAAGTATAGTAATAATCATTTTTGAGTTCAATTAATTTAATTTAGTTTAAAAATTAATTCAATTTACTTTAATTATAGGTATTAATAACATTAATATTTTTACTAATAGTAATTATTTATTAACAATATAATTATTGACTATAAATAATTAATACTTGACACAATATAATCTTTGTTGAATTAAAAGTTCTTATATTCCGTCCAATTCATTGCGCTTGTGAGAGAACTTTCATGCCATCTGGACGGCAAGTCAGAGAGTTAAAAGGCGCGAAATTCAAATTTCAAAAAACAAGAAAGCGAACAAAATGGAAATAATTCTTGAAAGAATATTCACCTCTAAATTTTTTTTCTTTCTATACATTTAAAGGGACGAGGGACACACAATTTTTATTCAAAATCAAATTATTACATTTATCTAATTTTCCTAATTACGTTTTACCATAATCTAGAAAATAAACGAAATGGAAGATTGCACAGAGAGAAAAAAGTAAATTTTTTTTTCCCTCCACTTTCAAACATGCGCAATCACTTTCAAGTGAATACACAAACTGATTTTAACGAACGAATTCAGAAAATGAAATGGTTTTCAAACTTTGATGGATGCTTTTCATATACACACAGACAAATAGAGAGCCTAAGTGCGTAAATGCATGTGCGCAATTGGAGCAAATTATTCAAATCGATAGAATACTGAATATCTCAAGGAGCCTCTCTCCAAATTAACATTGCATTCGTCTAAGATGGAAATCGATCTCCCCCCCTCTTCTTCTCTCCTCCCCCTCATTACTATTCAATCCGTGAGTTTTAATTAAATTTTCCTTCATTTTTTTTTGTAAGGAAAAAAAATGAAAAGAAACGAATTCTTTTTTAAACAATATTCCTTTCAATAAAATTATATAAATTTTTCTGTTATTTCTCTCTCTTTATTATCAAGATTTACTTTTTATTTTTCATTCCCCTTGATTTAGTACGAGAAAACTTTTTTTTAATTAAAAATTTTTGTAGTTTAAATCAAAGAAACTCTGTTGGATAATATTTTTTTTCATATAAAATGTTTTTTTTTAATCAAAACTTTTTTGAATCAAAAAAGATTTCTTCTGGTCAAAAAGATTTCTCGATCGTTTCTAATCAGTTTTTCATCTATTTTTTTTGTCTTTTTTGTTATTACTATTATTATAATTTATAAATATTATTTATAATATTAAAAAAAAATTTTAACAATGAAAAAATTCAATTTTTCTATTCTAAATATAATTTATTTTTCCTATATCTTTTTTATTAAATCTCCTGTCTTATTTTTGAAAATATTTTTAAATCCACTAAATTTTGAATAATTATTTAATGTGATTATTATTTTGTTGTTGTTATTATTATTATTTGAAATACTCGAACAATAATTTTAAGAAGGAAAAAGAAAATTAATTCTCTGTGTGTATTTTACAATAAATATATATATATGTAAATTTATGCCACTACAGTTAAAATTCATTTCCGCTAAGGTGACAGTAAATTGTTGGTGACAATAATTTCCGTTTGTTTTCATTTTTTGTTGACAACTAGTGTATTGCAAAATGAGGAAATAGAACGTGTTACTGTCAACGGATAAAATTTCAGAAATTATCGCGCATCGTACACTTATTTTATTATTTTTTTTTTGAAATTATTACGGCCTCGTCATTCGAGTTAAAACACGTGTTACAAACTCATGCCAACTTCTAATGTTTTGTTTCATCGTTCGTTAAAATTAAACCAAGCGGCCAAATTGAAAATAATTGTACAACAACCTTACAGAAATTATTTATCAAAACAATGCAAAATAAGTCATTTCTTTATCTTTAGAAATTATTTCAAGAATATTGAACTTTACTAATTTCTAATTAATTAATTCATTCATTCATTCATTTTGAATGAATTAATTTTTAATTAATACTACAAAATTAATAGTAAAAAATAATATTTTTAATAATTAAAATTGGTTCGTTCAGTTCATTCCGCTTGTGAGAGAACTTTCATGCCATCTGGACGGCAACTCACAGAGTTAAAAAGGCGCGAAATTTAAATTCCAAAAAACCAAAAAGCGAACCGAGTAGAAATAATTGTTTAGGTTATATTTAACTCTTAAAATGTTTGTTTCTACATTTCTATTATATATATTAATGAATATTATAAAAAATATAAATAAATTTATTAATATTTGTTTAATAAAATATAAACAATACAACCGTAAATTGTTTAAGTAAATAAGTTAATAATAAATATTAAAAGTATTTTAATAATAAAATATTAAATGAATAAAATATAAATGAATCAATTTTTAT